TCTTGCAAATTTTTTCCTAGAAAATATTTAGGAAAAATACTGCATGGCAAAACTAACTTGAAGAAAAGTAAAAAATATAAAAATCAATTATCTCCAAAGAAAACTCCAGGCCTGGATGTTTTATGAGTATATTTTTTCAGCAGTTTAAGAAATAAGTAATTCATCTGTTAGTCAATATTTTACATAGCCTAGAAAAGGAGAAATAGTTTTCCAATTTGACTATGAACCCTCGTACTAAAAATTAGCAAGGACAGTACAAATAAAGAAAAAACACAAACTAATCTCACTTATGATTACAGATGCAAAAATAACAACTATAATATGAGCAAATAAAATTATGCAGTACATTAAAGCAAGACTATACCATGACTAATCAGGGTTTATTTCATCAATAAATTTGAAGAACAAAACCAATAAGGTATGCTGTAAAATAAAATCAATTTCTCATACAAATTCCTAATAGACTGGAATTTTTTTTTTAATTATTATTTTTATTTTTGTTTTTGTTCCAGCAGCTAGCCAGTACAGAGATTAAATTCTGGACCTTGGTATTATTAGCACCATGGTCTAACCAACTGAACTATGACATTTTATAAATGATAAAAAATATCTTAAATCAATAGTCGACTGAATACCTAATGTAAAATATTAAAAACAATTTCACAAATTAAAAACTATGCCAAAATATCTGCTATAACCATTCTTACTTAATGCTACTCTTGACATTCTAGGCAATGTAATGGGGGGAGGGGAAAGCAAAAAACCAAATGACTACCAAAAAGGAGGAGAAAACATACCAACTGTAGCAGAAATATGACTAGACCTAATAAGTTCAATAAAAAGGGAGGTTAAAAAAATGAGCCAGCCTCTGTGGGGAGACAGAGTTAGTGGACTAACAAATACAAAACTATGCTATCGACCCTAAGTGAATCATTGTGTAGTATATGCACATATTGAAACAACACACTGTACTCTACAAATATGTATGAGTAAATGTCAAAAGTAAAAAAAGACCCAGCAAAATAAACTAGCAAAATTCACTAGCCTTCCTAAATATAACAACAAAAAGAAAATGGAATAAAGAATATCTCATTCACAAGAGCAAGCAAAATATTAAATATTATGAAGAAAACATCAAGGGAAATGCACAGAATCTGTATTTAAAAAACAAAGCATTGTTGAAGGACATAAAAAATTGAATAAATAATGTTGAATGGAAAGATTCAATGCTATAAAGATGTCAATTCACTGTACAGTTTTATATAAATGTAATGTCATATTTTTAAAAAATCACTTTGGGATTTTAATAAACAACTTGATAAAGTAAATCTAAGATAAACTTTGGAAAAGTATGAAATCACCTCAAAGAACAATTATAAATGTGGTCTTGCAATACTTACTTTAGAAATAGACTGTAAAGTTATAGTGATTAATATAGCATAATATAGCATAGTACTAAAAAAAGTTTAGATAGAAAGATCAATGATATAGGACCAAAATCTGAGAAATGGTTCCAAATATGTTATCAGAGTATAAAAAATGATGTAGTTCAAGTCAGAGGGTGATAAGATGTTTTACATAATAAATGGCACAGAGATATTTGGTTAACTGCTTGAGAAAAAAATTAAGGTATATCTCTCATTGAAATTATACATCAAAATATATTCAGGAGGAATTAAAGACTTCGATGTTTAAAAATATAGCCAATTAATTGGAAAAAAATATAGCAGAATATCCTCAAAACTCAGGGTGGAGAACGCCTTTTTAAACAAACCCCCAACAGAAAAAAACTATTTAAAAGGGGGTGGAAAGATTGACAACAAAAGCATAAAATAAAGCAAATGACAAAATGCAACATATATAACAAACAAAAAGGTTAATACTACAAATGCATACATAAAGAATTCTTACAAAACAGTAAGAGCTAGACAAGTCCTTTAAAGGAAAAATGGGCAATCAACATCAATAGGCAGTTCACAAAGGAAGAGACATTTAATAGCAAATAAATTTACGGAAAACTCTTCATCCTCACTAATAATCAGAGAAACTCGCATCTGCAATGACATGCTTTTCCCCTATCAAACTGGCATGAAGTTTTTAAAGTACTAAAACTTGTTATTGAAGGCAAGAGAATAAACACTTACAGATACTGCTGGTGAGAGCACAAACACCATACCCTTCCTGAAGGGTAATTGGCAAAATGAATCAAAAGCCTTTTTAAAAAGAACATACTCTTTGGCCCAGGAATTTCACTTTTACGAATATATACTAAGAAAATAACCACTAATAAGCTGAAAAGTCTTAACAAAAAGTTATTCATGTTCAAGGTGCTCTTTTTACTGACAAACAATAAAAACAACTTAAATGTTGTATAAAAGGCTCAGTTAAATACAAAAACCTCACTTTATGCCATGTTTTCTGCCAATAAAATATTTTAGAAAATGACCTAATCACAGGAAAATCCACAAAATATCATTAAGTGTGAAAAAATAGGTTATAAAAGTAAAGAATGATTCTATCTTTATGAGAAAAAATTTAACATATATATGCATAAGGGTACAAAACTATGCTATCTACCCTAAGTGAATCATTGTGCACTATATGCATGTATTAAAACAACACACTGTCCTCCACAAAAATGTACAAGGAAATGTTAAAACAAAAAATATATATATTCCTATAAAAAATTGAAAGGATATGCAAGATACAGGTAGAATTAAATGACAATTTTATTTTCTCTTACATGATTTTCTGTTTCTTACAAATAAATATGCATAAATTTTATAATCAGAGGAAAATAAAAGCTATTAAAAATATACAATGTTTGAGATATAATATTAAATAATGATAACCCACAATAATATGTATTCCTCAAACATATAATTTAGATAACTTTAAAATTTCAAGATAATGATAACTAATTTAGGTGGATAATAACTGGCCTGGTCTTACCTAGAAAAAAAAAAATGTATGTTGAGTTTTAGCAGTAGTTAAATCAAACTATTTGAATACAACTTTAACTAAATTTTTTCCCATTTTTAAATCAATATATTATTGGTATATTTTCTAATATTAAGATGTAAAAAGAGACAGTAATGTAGAATAGATCAAAATGGGAAATTTAGTAAGAATTTTACCTTTTATCCCCATAAGACTCTGAATAGCACACAAGTGAAAGTTTACATATCACATAAAGAATCCAGAAAAAAAAAAAATGAAAGAATCTGAAAAGCCTAATTTTGCATGGGTTTTTTCTTTTTTATTTTCATTTTGAGTATCCAAGACTGGTACATTTTTTCGATTTTAAATTCATAATTAGAATTAAATATAAAGAAAGATGGAAAGTGTGGGGGGAAGATACCAAGGTACAAAAACTCTATGTTGAATAATAACAATAAAATGCTAGCTTCCACATTACTAAGACCCCCATCATTCACACTGGTAAAAGCTTGCCTTTGCATAACCATTTCTGTTCGCACTGTTAAAAAACCAATGACTTCGGAAAAGGAAGAAAACAGAATGACATGCAAAGTAGCACACACCATGTTAGTGCAGCTGGATAGAGAATATGTCACTAATGACTTTCTTTCTACCCATCAGTTATAAGTTGAGTTTCTTTTTTTTTCACAAATAGCAAATGGCCTTTATGAGTACAAAACAGAAGCTGTGAAATTCAAAATAATATTCAGTTTCCACTGGATTTTGACACTGTGTTAATCAATGGAATGAGTTATTAATTATTCATTGGGAATAAAAATGACTTCCTTTTTTCTTCATTTGAGTTGAACATAATGTGCCTGAACACTAGGCAATTTTCTGTAGTAAATTCAAAATACAATTTTCATCAGATACTTATTGCCAAATTTTTATCTCAACTGAGATATTATCCATGACCAATGGGAAGATTCACCTAAAGTTCTTTGATAAATTCCAAAAACTAATATAATTAAGTTTTCAAATTGTTAGTGAAAATCAGAGTGATAACTATCTGTCTGTAAGGGAGAACTGATAAAATTAATGAATGACCATGGATTCCATTCAGCATACAAAAACTTGTAATACAATACTTCAACTACATAAATAAATCGGCAAGAGAGAGTTTGGTTAGGCAAGAAGTACAACTTCTTGATTGATAGGGTAACTTAACACTGGATTGGGACTGTCCACTTTTTAATTTTAAAGAGAATAACATCAATCACATATATTCAAAAGTAAAGATGTTCTCCTCATCTGAGTCAGAGGTCATGAAATGCTAAATCTCATAAAAAATCTGTTTGAGATTAGTCAGCCTATAGTCCTACAAGCATATTAATAATAATAACCACCACAGCTTTCATTCATGAGTATTTTCTTAAGTGCCAGTTATTCTAAGAGCTTTACATGTATTAATTCTCTTAATAAGCCTATGAAGTAGGTACTATTATTATCCCCATTTTAAAGATGAGAAATATGAAATGTAGAGAAAAGTTCAGTGGATTGCCCAAAGTCCCTCATCTAGTAAGTGACACTGCTGGGATTTGAACCAAGGTTAACAGGCCTCAGAATCCACCAATAAACCATTATATACAGCACATTCTATAAACTTTTTCAAAGGTGCTACAAGTGAGCCCTTTTGATCAGAAAAAATTCAAGGTGATAATTTAGATTCATATATTAAGGTAATATGATGATTTTAAGAAAAATTAAGATTATCTCCTTTACCTTAATTTGCTTTTCATCTTTTGACATAACTTTTTTCTTTTTTATACTTTATCATTAAGTAAATCGAGGCAGTATATGCTATAAGTTATATATTTATAGACCAATATAGAGTGGGCAAAAATATCATTCTATAAACATAACAAAGAATAAGTTTAGGAACACACTACACATTTACTCTCTCATATATAATCAAGTATTAGAGGTAACAATTTACTGCTACAATGAAGAATATGAGCAAATATGTTGTTATACAAAATAACATCTCTGCATTGATATGCTTAATAACTTTTACATTGTACCTTTAATTTCTCCAAGAAGTTCACTGGTATTTAGTCTTTCCATTTTTTCCTTCCAATCTTTTGAAAGTAGCTTTTCCATACAGGAGGAATCTATTAAAATACAAAAATAAGTATTAAAAATATAGGTATGCTACAAACTCAGATGGCCAGTTTATAAAGAAATTCACTTAAAAATGCACAAAGCTATTTTGTTGCTGTTGTTTTAACCTAGGATATAGACAATTACAATACTCTATTATAAAATACCATAACTAAGTTTATTTTACCAGAATATTATTTAAACTATAGTCCGGGGGAAAAGAAAGATAATGCTCAATAATCTTACTTTAATATTATAATTCTATTAATATTCAATAGGCATTTATCATTTCTTAGATTGATAGGACAGAAAAGGGAACTCTTTCCTATTGGTTTAAGTTTAGTTGTTATTCCTTTTTTAAAAAAATTTTAATTTATCAGCATACAATGTAGTTGATTTTTGTGTCCTTCTACCAATTCCTTTCTCCCTTCCCTCTCCTCCCCCATCAACATCATATCTGTTCACTTGTCTTAACAAGTTCAAGAAATTGTTGTGATTGTTGTGTCCAGATGATTTTTTTAAGAACAAGCAAAATTTATGTGTTATGCAAGGAACAATAGCAGATCTTCAAAAAGGAGAAGGGGCCAATCAACATGTAACCACTTAGCCCTTAAAAAAGAAATCCAACTTTTGTAAAATAACCATTTAGAGTAAAACAAGAAGAAAATAAAGTCAAGATGTTTTCTGTCCCCAAGTAATGAAAACTGCTAAAACTTTTCTCTTATATAAAAAGTAATGCATATTTTTATTAAAGAAAATACCTGTTTAAACGGTATTTGCTCTGCTGCATTTCCAAATTACATACTAGATTATAGGGAGTGAATACAGTTGTTTTTATAAAGATTCATGAAAATTAAATAATTACAAACTTTAGGATGTCCTAATTTTTCTCAATCAGTTATTTTTTTCTCTTTATTCAGGATTTGCAACTGAGGCTACTGCTTACAACTATTTACTCATACCTTTTAAGCCTCAAATTTTAACAAATACCCCATGATTCCAAAAGGGAATGCAGATTTTTTTTTTTTTTGTCTTTTTTTCGTGTCCGGCAATGGATCGCAACCCTCAGTGTCGCACCCGTACCGGACCGGGACCAGCAATGGGATCGCAACCCTCGGTGTTGCGTCCGCACCTCGCTCAGCCAGTGAGCGGGAACCGGTCTGTATGTGGGATCCGAACCCTTGGCGGGAGCGCCATCATGCTCCCAAGCGGCGCACTGTAGCAGTGCGCCACCGGGCTGGCCCCATTGAGTATGCTTTCAATGCCATTTCCTTTTTCCTCCCCTTCTGGAATACCCGTAATTTGGATATTTGAGCGCTTAAGGTTGTCAGTTGTCTCAAATTCACTTCTTAACAGTTATAAAAACTCTCCTCCTCTACAGTGCCTAGATCAAATACCACGTCCTCAATTATGTCTTGATTCATCACTTCCAATATAAATTCTCATCTTCTGAAAAGGAAATGAACACTTGCTGAACACATACTATCTTTCAGGCACTATACTTTTTATATTCTTTTCATCTGTCATTTCATTTAACTCAATGACATAGCTACTTCTATTTCACAACTACTTCTACATCTACCACTACTACTATTTATCAGTTTTCACCACCACATGATTAAGTATATGATCAAGGTCCTACCACAATACCTTAACTAAATATTAAGTTCCTTGACAGCCAGGGAATGTTTCTGACACCACTTTGTGTTCTTCCATATTGTTTAATCCAAAGCTCTGCACATAGTAGGTGCTAAAAAAAATTCCTTGATATATTAAAAAAGATCACTTTTATTGCATGTGTCAAGCAGCAACAGGACTAGTTTGTTTTTTCTAATTAACTATACTGACGTATAACTTACATATAATTAAATTCACCCTTTGTATTTACAGGTCAATTTTAAACCTTTATTATTCTTTAATATAAGCATTTGAAGCTACAAATTTCCCTTTCAGTACTGTTTTAGCTGCATTCCACGTATCATGCACATTTTGTTAGATTATATCTTCATTACCATTTAGTTTAAAATATTTCATAATTTTTCTTTTTCTTTCTTCTTTGGTACATAGCTTATTTAGAAGTATGTGGGTTTTTTTGTTATTGATTTGTAATTTGTTTCGATGTTTCCATATGGTCAAAAAATATTCTCTTTATAATTTCAATCCTTTTTATGTTCATTGAGACTTGTTTTATTGGCCCATCGTATAACTTCGTATAATCTATGCCATACGAAGTTATTACGTATGTCGTATAATAACAAAAACAAAAGACCAATTTATTAGTAATGATCACAAATTCAGAGAAAGTCCATATACTAGGATTAGGTGCACAATAGATGTAAAACAGGCTAAAATATGTGTCTCATTTCTATAAATAGATCTGAACTCTTTCAGAGCTCCAAGAAAAAAATGCTGAAACTTCATGGGAACAAAAATGGAACTATATGGACAACAGTAACATACAGTTCAAACATAAATCAAACCATGTGGACGCAGCTTTACATAAAAGCTACTCATTAATAAAATGGTTAATAACTTCAAAGCACTTCACATTCCTATTAGAAAATTAATCCTTACTGTAATGCCAAGTTAATCTAGCTATATAAGTTCCATTTCAGTAGAAGAAACTGAGGGAAAAAATAAAGCAGCCTTTGCATGTCTACATTTACAGCCATGAAAATATTTAATAACAATCAGTGATTGCCTTTACCTGCAGAACAATAAAAGCCACTAATACAACCTTATCAACATTTAATCTTAATTGTAGGAGATTCCAGGAAGACTCAAAACTGTAAGAAAATCTCTGGAAAAACTCTCAGCTGTCTCCCCTAATTATGTGACTGCCAAACGTCTAAGGGCATACCACAATTGATGCTAAGAACTCTCCAAGCTATAATGTAAAGCAAGTAAGATGAGGGGGAAAAGGTCAGAAGAAGCAGATTGTTACCAAGTACTGTATAGACAGGACACTACTCCCACCACTGAAAGGTCTCTGATTTGAAATGGAAAAATGTGTAATTGATACAAAGTTACAAATGAAATTTTATATTTTAAAATTTCCCCCTCAAAATAATATCCAGGTAAGGATGTAAATTAAAATTAAGGATGCATCCCCCTGTACCCCATCCTTCAGCTACATTGATGAGACACTTGTTTTACAGAGGCAATTGATCAGATCAGATTTTGCCCTATTTTAATATAGCACAAATGCAAAAGCCAAAAAGATAAAAATAAGTAAAGAGAGCCAGTTTGCATTATGCACATGGAAAGAGTAAGATCATGCAAAGTGGCTTTTAAACAATAGTCATGTAGAATTTCAAATTGAAAAAAAAGGAGTGAACATCTCCCATATACTCTTGGATTATTTTACACACATAATAGGTTTTACATGATTAATTTGAAAACAAGTAATATAATGCCACAGTCTTCAAAACCATGAAACAATATATAGTAAATTTTATTATCTAAGTTTGTCTTCAGCTGAAAAACGGGAAAAGAATTACATGCCTTTTGGAAATTGAGATAAAGAATCACACTGTTATAGCATAAAAAAATCACCATAATATATATGTATTAAAAATGAATGTGTCATAATGCTTCAGTATTAAAGTGGACAATGACAAAATCAACTCCTCTTTGAAAAAATTTGTTTCCATTAACCAATACCTATTCACTGAAATGCAGGACTTTATATTCATCTTGTTTAATTTTTGTAAGTGATGGTAATTAAAACAGGACTATCAAAAATCAAGAGCTGGATTTTGGTTCTCTTTTATATTTTAAGAAAGGATATGAAGGTTATATATGTTATAAATTCATACTCAGTTGCATAGTCTTTGTTTTTTTTTTTCTTTTCCTTTGCAAATTTATGTTTTCCTCTTTCAAGAAAATTTTTCCAAGGAAAAAAGGGAAGACATAACTCAGAACTAATTTTTTAAAAATATTCTGCATAACGAATTGCAAAGCAATGCTTCTGCTTCCTAAGTAGGTTTGGGGCTGGGTAGGTCAAGAATGCTTTAACATGCCTTAGTAAATGTTTTTTTCCTGTTAATAATTAATATCATGAAACAAGAGAGATACAAAGTGAGTATGTGAGATATTTATTTCCTAATCTGTAAAATGATTTTTAGGGAACAATTTTAAGTTATTGCTAGTTAAACAAAGCTAGAGCAGTATTAACTCCTCTTCTGCACAAAATAAAAGTATTTCACATAGGTCAAAGAGAGTAAGTAAATCATCATTAAAATTAAAGCATGGGGAAGAGGAAAGGATAATGGGAAAAATCTTTATGTACTTTAAAACAATTTACCTGTAAATGGACATTATCCCTTTTACCTTAAAGTAATATTTAAAGTTAAAAATGCTAAAATATTAGAAACGTGACATGGAAAATATCGTTAAAACATTTTAGTGAGGAAAAATGATTACAGCTGCCCATGTAGGCAGATTTTCTATTGTTTTATTAACTCTTTTAAGAAAATAGTAAAGCAATTTCTTTTATTTTTATCATAGGAATTATAAATTACAAATGCAATAAACTTTTTATATAACCACGAACAATGATAACTTGTCAAAAGTACTCATGACCTTGGTTTAGAACTAAATCCAACAATATATATTTATATTCCTACTGATCATCCATCTCACATTTTTCATTAGGAAACAGAGATGCACATGTCAGTATGTCAGTTACTGTACATTTTTCCACAGTGGCAAGTGCTCCACAATACAGTGAGTTAAAATTGGAGCTTGGAGAGCTTGAAGAGCACTCTTAAATTTTAATTAAAACCCTCCAAGCTCACTAAAAATAATTAGACACTAAAATGTGCCAGTTTTATTTTGAAGTCACTATAACATACAAAGCACACTCCCTGACGACTGCTTGTGGGCTCTCTCTCTCTCTCTCTCTCTCTCTCTTTCTCTCCAGAGAAACAACTGATTTTCCAAATAAGAACAAGGGGGTATAAATAGAGGCTGTTTTCAGGCCAGCTCTTCATGCTAGGAGGATGACAGA